TGGTCTTGTGGCAGGTGGTTCCTGAACTCCAGTGAGTGCCTGAACCACCTGGAGAGTTCATTAAAATGCAGATTCTTGAAACCCTTCCCACCCCAGATTCTAATAAGTAAGTTTGGGGTGGGGGCCCAGGAATCTGCATTCAAGTATTATCTCCAAGCAAGCCAAGAGTCGCTGTTCTGTAAAGTATCCAAGCAGGACAGACCCTTAGAGTCCCGCTAACCCAACGCCTTCAGTAAGAAAATTGAGGCCCAGAGGAGGGGAGTGATGTGTCCAAGGTCACAGAGCGGGCCACTGGCAGAGATAGAGCTTGAACCCAGGTCTCTTGTCGCCTAAACTGGTGTTTCCCTACCTGAGTCTATGGGGAACTGGCCACTTGGACTGGTCTTCAGGTCCTCACATACTAGCCCAACTGGGCTGGGACGCTGCAGGGTGAGGAGGCCTCTTCAAAGTGGAGTGGGGATGACTAACAAGTGTTTGGAGGGATCTAGAGCCCTCCCCACCCTTGGGAACAATTCCTTCTAGAGCCACTTCCTGCTGAGCCCCATCTTCCAGCTGAGTCAACAACTTGTGGCAGCCAAGATGCCACTAACTATCCTTTCCCCCAGGATCTGGGGTGAGATCTTTGCCCCTTGTCACTCCTATCTGTCCCCTGTATTTCCCTCCCCAAGCAACACTCACAGCCAGGCTGTCCTCAGGAGGGAGAATCACTCCAGGGACAGGCCCACTCAGTCCCACAGTCCTAGACAGGTTTTAGAACCTCAGAATTTTTTTAGAAACTTTCAGTCACGTGGAGTCTTTCATGCTACACACACACACACACACACACACACACACACACACACACACACACACACACACACACACACACACACCACTAGTCTTCCATGAGGCCTGTGGCTTTGAGGTTGGTTGGTAAGAGCCATAATAGGTTAATTTCCGCACAGTAGGGCCCGTCCCTAGTCTCCCAACATCACCAATGGTCAGCAACGGCACAGTAGAGCACGTGTCCCAGCGCCCACTGCCCAGCCTGAGGTTCCTGTGGAAGTATTTAATGACATCATCTCAGAATACTACCAAGGAGGCTCCCAGGTTATGCAAACCCTAGAAGCCAGGGGCAGGGGATTAAGAAAATAAGGAATTAAGACAGTATGGTTATTATTGCAAGGACAGACCAATGGAAGAGAACAGAGCTTCCAGAAAAGACCCACAGCCAATTGAGGACAAAGATGCCAGGCCTAAATTACTATATGGTATGATGCCATTGACATGAAATTCAGTAAGGGAGGAGGTGATCTATGGCAACAGAAGTCAGAAGAGCGGGAGCTCTGGTGGGGGTGAGGGTATCAACCGGGAGGGGGCAGGAGGGGGCCTGCCAGGGGGCTAGAAATGGTTTGTCCCTTTATCTGGCTGGTGAGTACACGGTATATCCATATGAAAACTCACTGAGGTGTACCATGAAGATCTGGGACCTCAAGTAAGTTACCTTCCCTCTCTGAGTCTCTGATTTTTCATCTGCAAAATGGAGACAAGACCTCCCTCCTAAGTTTGTAATGCAGATCTGGCCTGGCACCCAGAGTCAGGCAGTCAGTAAACGTTAATGGTCAAAGGAGGTAACAGAGGAAAGGGCAGGGCCCAGTGATGATAATAATAATGAAAACAGCAACAACCATCAACTAGCTACCAGTTCAGAGTTCTAGCCCCACGCCAGGAGCTGTGCTGGGAGGACACATCTAGCCCTCACAACATCTCTAGAAAATGGAACGTTTGTAATATGAACTTGATGTAAGCTAGAGAGTGAAGGGCTGCATTTACATGGTGCCCTGGGAGCTGGGCAAAACTTCTGTCGGTATTCCAACTCCTTCTTCGAGGAGTTACTGGCATGGCTGTCAACCAGGTGGCCCCAGGACCCACTGCAGCCCCAGCCATATCCCTGGGAGGGAGACAGAGAAGGTGGAGGTGCAAGGACTTTGAAGTCATGCAGACCTGGGTTTGACTCCTGACTCTGCCCCTGCTAGTGGTATGATGTTGTTGGGCAAATTGTTTAACCTCTCTGAGCTTCACCTTTCTCATCTATAAACGGGGTTAACAATATATCCTTGGAGGACATCTGTAAGGAGTAGAGATTATATTTGTCACATGCTTGGTACATATAAGTTGCTTATAATAATTTTTGCTATTGTTTTCCCCAAACTACTCTGATATCAGCCTGCCCGACTCTGTATGTCCACGGAAACAAAAACCAACACTCTACTGGGCAGCCCTGCCTCATAGAGGCCAATCCAGGGCATGAGACTGGCTTAGTTTGTTCGCTAATTCATAGGATGTCCACCAAGGGTCTGCTCTGCACAGAACACTGGCCTTATCTGCAAAGCTGATTCAAGAGGGTTGGAAGCAGAAGCAGATGAGCCCAGGCCCTCAGAGGGCATCACCCAGCCCCAGCTCCCACCAACCACCTCCAACCTCCTCCCAGGTACCTCACTCAGCCAAGAGCAAGCAACTACACCAGAGCACATCTTTGTCTGCATTTGTCTTTGAAAATCAAAGCTGCCTGATTAAATGCCATTACAGCCCTGGCTTCACTGGATCAAAAGAGATTAATGAATTTAGGGGTGCTGCTGGCATGAAAAGCCCACCGCAGCTGGCAGTAACTAAACGCCAGTAACCTGAGGCCCCTGGAGTCTTTCCTGATCAGCAGGCAGAGAGACCCTGCTCCCCTTTAAGACTGCTCAGGATAAACAAGAGGTGACCTCCCCTCCCCACCTCTCCCCTCCCCTCCCTTCCCCTCCTCACTGGCACCAAAGACTTTGTACTCAAGAGTCCTGGTGGACAAAGGACAAAGGATCCCTGGCTAGATGTGGAGACATACCCCCACCCCAACCAACAGAGAAAGAGATGGGCAAGCAGGTCTTACCACTCCCTCGTCTGCAGGAAGCTCTGCCCAGACACCCTCTAGCCAACAGTGAGGGAAGCAGAGTCAGAAGCCCCAAGTTGTGCTACTGCCAGGTGACCTCGGGAAAGACATCTGCTATCTCTCTGAGCTTGCCCTGAATCGGAACAGTAGTTTTCTCATCCTCCCCCTGTCCCCAGGCCCCAAGCAACAGATCTCTTCCAAAAAAGCCCAATAGGCAACTCAGGTGATGGCAGAGCTGCCCTGGGTGAAGCAGGGTAGGGAGTAGAGAGGCCCATCCAGCCTCCCCACCCATCCAGAGGCCCCTGAAGGGTTCTGGGAGCACTGTTCCCTAAGTCAGGGGACAACAGCTGTCCCCAGGATCCAAGGCCAGCTGTGGCTAAACATGCTCCTGGTAGCAGCTCCATACCCTCTGATGCAGGCCCTCCTTTTATGAACTAAGAGGAGTACTGGAGTCAGAGAGACTTGGGTTTCAATCCTAGCTCTACTAGCTGTGTGACCTTGGGCAAGTTACCTTCCTTCTCTGAATCTCTGATTCCTCATCTGCAAAATGGAGACAATAAGACCTCCCTCCTGAGTTTATTATGGAGAAAAGGGCCTGGCACAGGGAGTCAGGCATTCAGCAAACATTCACTGTAAAAGGAGATAAAGGAGGAGGAAGGAAAGGCCAGAGCCCAAAGAAAAGAGTGAAAACAACAGTCTTGCTGCCATTTTGGAGTGCTCAGCATACACCAGGCACTGTTCTAAGCACTCTTGTGCACTAACTCTTGAGGTCCTCCCAACGTTTTTACAAGTAAGGCTCTCATCGTCCACATTGCAGAGGCCACACAGGCACCCAAGGCCTGGGCTCACAGCCTGCACACTCTCCTGCCGTTCCCACTGGCTCGTCTGCTGAGCCAAAGTATGGCTTTTTCCTCTGGGCCACCACTGGGACCACAGGCCCATCGTCGTGTGCTGCCCGAGAGGGAGTAGCCAAGAGCATTCGCTTCTACCGGGTCTGGTCCCTTTCCTTCCCTCCTCCCACCAGCCAGAGGGGTCATGTCACTGCACTACTCACCCTTCAGTGACTCCCCAGTACCTCGGAGTCATGCCCAAGGCCTTCACCATCTGCCTGCAGCCCTGCAAAACCTCACCACTCCTTAGCCCTTCCTTGCAGTACCACCTCTGCGCCCCCAACTCCTCCACCCCGACACACACACACACACACACACACACACACACACACACGTGCGCGCGCGCAGCAAATCCCCGCTCCCCCTGCTGGGGAAGCCGGCCCGGGGCAGAGGTGAGCACTTCTTTGTGGTTCCCTGGGGACTGGCTCACCCCCTGCTGCACTGCCTGAGAGACAGCTACAAGGATAGAGTTGTGTGTCTGACTCCAGTGCTAGGCTGGGAACTCCCTGACAAAGGGAATTGTGTCTAGTTCCTCTCTGAACCCTCACACCTAGCACAGAGTAGGGACTAAAAAATGATGAATGCTGCTGGAAAAAAGACAACCTCATCCCTACCTGTGGGACCCCATGGTGACCAAGAAGAAGAAAATGGGGTACAGGCCCCAGCCCACCGGTCAGCTTTCCCTGAGGCCTATCAGGTGGCAGGCAGGAGACAGAAGCCCCTCTTTTTTTCACTCCAGGCCACTAGCTGGCTACTGCTGCGCCCTTTTGGCCTGATACCTGGAGATCTGGGGAGGGCAGGAAGAGGGAGGAGGTGCGTCCAGGGCCCAAGGGGCAGAGGATTAAGTCCCATGGATTTGCACCATTGTTCTTCAGTTTCTCTGCACTGCGGGGCTCAGGGGGCACAAGAAGACCGATGGTAATCCCCTGTCCGGGCAGGAGCTGCTTGGGGGTGGGGGGGCAGGTGGGGCTCAGCACGTGCCCCACCCCGCTGCCTGCTGCCAACCCCAGCTCTAGGAGATGGGCAGAGAGCTGCCACAGAGGACCTGGAAGACTGCTTTGTGCTCAGAGATGTTATAATTCTTCAGACAACAGGCCCCACTTCAAGGCCGTGAGACCTCACCCAGACACACCTGCCCTTGCTAGGCAGCCCCGCCCAAGCCCCGTCCTGCGTCAGCAGCCAAGCGCCCTTGACTTTACCTCGTTGACGTCAATCTTGTTCTTCTCCATGTAGTCTCTGTCGTTGACCTGCCCACCGTCCACAAACTCCATCAGAAGGACCCGCTTGGTGGACAGCTCCCAGTAGATTTGGGGGACCTGGAATAGGAAAGGGCAGGTCAGAAGGAGGCAGGAGGCTGGAAGCTGCGGGCAAGGGGGCTGCAGACAGGCACGTGAGCCAGACATCAGCACACGTTCCTCCCAGGAACAGAAGGGAAGGCCCCCCCCCCCCAGCAGGGGTTGGTGGGGAAAGCAGGAGGCAGGCCAAGAGAGAAGGGTAGGCTGTTCCGCCTCCACCAGCAAGGTGCAAGGCCTCCTTTAGTGACCCCTCCTGCTTGGGGACCAGAGAAGGGCTTCCCACCCTCCTCAGTGCCTTCCAGACACAATGAAGAGGCCACACTAAAACTGGGACTTAGGGGAAAATGCATGGAACCTCTCATATCTGAGCCAGAGTTGGTGTTAGAAGCAATGTCTCTCTCACACCAGGCTTATTTCAGGCTCCTCATGTGAATATAAACCCTCTGCCTCAGTTTCTTCACCTGTGCAATGGGTGTTATTATACGTATGGATGATTGAATGAATGAATTTTTGCTGAGTGATAAATTTTTCAGTCACGAAGTCATGAGTTTTCTCATGCCCATTTCCTAAAGCCTCCTGTGGCAGGCAGTGCTGAAGCCTAACCCAACACCTATTCCCAATCCTCCTCTTCCCCCGAGACAGGGGAAACTAAATACTTTCCCTGCCTGCCCTGCAATAATTATGGCCATGTGACACAGTTCTGGCTTATGAGACATAAGTGGAGGTCTGTTAGGGGGTGTAGGAAGGTTTTTATTTTCTTAATAAAAAGGGATGTTTGTAAATATTGCAACTCTTCTTACCCTTCTCTTCCTACCCTGAGAGTGAATGTGATACCTGGAGCTGCAGCAGCTATCTTATAACCATGAGGAGAAGTCTAAGAAAATCACAGAGATGCCAGCTCTGATACTGTCAAACCACTGAGACAATATCAACAGGCAACTGCTACAAGCCTTCTTGCTATGTGAGGAAAATACATCCTTTTTGTTTAAGACACTCTGAATGGGGCTGTCAGTTACCTGCAGACAAATGCATTCCTAACTGATATGCTCTCCAACCCCCTCTGACTCTAAGGACACCCAACAGCCAAAAAGAGGACAGATTTCCCCAGGAGTAGCCAAGAGATTGGGCTGCACCAAGGACTGCTGGGCTGCCATGTGAGTGACTGACACCTATGAGTCCCACCATGGCCAGGAGGGAGGAATGACCAGGATTTCAGCATGCCATGATTCCCCAACAACTTAATGGGTTTATTCCACTTACGAATGAAGAAGCAAGGGCACCTAATTCAAGTGTTTGGGGGAATAAGGACTTCCCTCATCCCAACCCTCAAAGCTCACCTAGCAGAAAGATAGCAGCCCTCAAGTCAAGAAACCTTTCTTGTTCCTGGTTCTGCTAACAACTGTTGTGTCTGAGTCCAGACATTTAACTCCTCCATGCCTCAGTTTCCCTCATTAGAAAGGAGACTGTTCCTGCTCCATCTCAATAAGGAGCTCTGGGGACAAAAGGTGCCATACGTACAAGTGAACACCCTGGGCTCCCTGGAACAAAAGTTCCTACTGAAACCAGGTGTCATTTTGCTTTGCTCCTTTCCTGCAATTCTTGCCATTTGAAAATCTAGGCCATTAGAGAAATCTGTGACCCTACATTACTTTGAACTTAAAATTCAGTCTCGCTTGGCATTTTTCAAAAATATCTCTTTAAAAATATGAGTGGCAAGTTTGCTGCTGTTGGTGGTGGCTTCCAAATGAAAGGGACATATTTGGGGGTTAAGTCCTTCCCCTGCTTTGTCTGGGACCCAAGCTTGGCCGTGGGTGCCTGGGGCTCTGGAAACTGGAGGTCAGGTCCCTCCCCTCCGTGCCCGCCTGGGGCAACAAGGAAAACAGCCAAGAAAGAGCCACAGGCCAGAGAGAAAACCCAAAAGCTGGAGACTCCCTGGGCTTGTTAGTCAGGGTCACCGGTGTACTGGGTTCCCCCTCTTCCACCTTTCCCCCCAGTCTCCCTCCAAATGCAACCAACCCAGTCTCCCAGTGGAATGTGCGCCTGCCTCAGCTGCTTAGCTCTGAAACAGCAGAGACAGCAAAAAAATGGGAGGCAGAAGGCTTTGTCCTGGGGGCTCAGGGAGGGCGGCAGTTGCCCCTCGATGGATGTAACATGGAAATGCCAGCAAAATGCAAATGTGCCTCCTGCTCAATTAGGAGAAACTTGGCTTGACAGGGGACACAAGGTCAAGTGACTCGCCCCTAAATCATCACGTGAGCAGGAGGCTCCGGGGCTATAAGGTGAAATTTACTTCACCCCAACAGCAATGTTTCACCACCATTCCTTCCTCAGCTTCTTCCATCAAGGAATGGAAAATGAAAGAGAAGATTTTTTTTTTTTTTTTGCGGTACGCGGGCCTCTCACCGTTGTGGCCTCTCCCGCTGCGGAGCACAGGCTCCGGACGCGCAGGCTCAGCGGCCATGGCTCACGGGCCCAGCCGCTCCGCGCCATGTGGGATCCTCCCGGACCGGGGCACGAACCTGTGTCCCCTGCATCGGCAGGCGGACTCTCAACCACTGCGCCACCAGGGAAGCCCGAAAGAGAAGATTTTTAAAGAGGCAATAAGAACCACCCTGTCCCCTGCCCAAACAAAAATAAACCCCGAGCGGCTCCTGGCCAGGGTGCCTGCTCACCCCACATAGGCCATCAGGACCTCTGGGTCTGGCCATCTAAACTTCTCACCACAGAGCAGAGGCCCCACTCCTGTAGGCTCTGCCTGCCCCCATACCAGAGCCAATCCTGACCCCCGGAAGGAGGGCACAGATTATGGAAAGTTCCAGCCCCAAACCCTGGCCTCAGCCTCATTAACTGGCCTTGACCCTGTGCTTCCTCTTTGTTCCTGTGCTTGGTCAGCACACCTGGCTTGTCCGGGCCAGCCCCCCGTCATCCAGGCCCACAGTCGTCCCATTAGCCGAGCCCAGTGGAGCAGAGCACAGACCTGAAGTCAGACTGTCAGGCTGGAGCCCCTGCTCTGCCACCTCCGAGCTGTGTGACTTGGGTAAGTTTTATAACCTCTCTGAGTGCCAGTTCCCTCACTGTAAAAGGGTGACGACAGTTACAAGGAAAGCGGCGCTCCTTACTTCCTACTAGCATGTACGAGGTCCTGGTGCTCAACACGGCAGCTGCCATATGACAGCCACGTAGAATTTCACCGGTTCTGAAACACAGCCAGGGCTGAGAGCTAATGAACAGACAGTTCAGCATAACTCAGATCTGCCCATAAGTTATCACAGAGGGAGAAGAGCTCAAGGTTTAACATGCAGGCCTGGGGCCAGGCTGCCTCTGTCCCTTACCAGGGAACTGTGTAAACTTGGGCAAGTGGCTTCATCTCTCTGGGCCTCAGCTTCCCTGCTGCTGACATGGAGCTAATAATGGCATTTCCCTTGTGGGGTTGTATAACGATTAAAGAGTAAATATACATAAAGCACTTTAAAAGTGTCTAACACAGCACAGGCATGTAAAAAATATTAACTAACACTAATTATTACACATCAGTGCTTCTTAATCTTTGAGAGTCTTAGGAAGTTATGGTGTTTCACCAAAAGCATGCTCATCTCCTCAGGGTTTGCCCACACTTTCTGGAGAGTCCCAGGCCCCTTACCTTGCACTAAAAAACCCTGGAGTGGGCCCTGCTCAAGAGACAACCCCCCACCAAGCCCCACCTCCACATATAGAGACACACTCTCATCCCTTCCAGTCCCAAACCCTGTGGTTATAAGGCTTCTCCCTCTATCTTGTCCCAGTTGTCCCCAAGGTCAGTCACAAACCTCACTGCTTGTCCTGTCCCCTCCCCACAGCATACACACACTCTGATGCCAGATCTACAAATGCCCTGGTCTGACCGTTCGGCCTGGCTGCCCCATCACCTTCTCCCCGTCTCCCCGACACCACATTTGCATTCAGTGCTTGTCTGAGGCTCAGAGATTTATAGCATAGGGCTGAGGTTATTAAACCCCACTGGAAGAGGCCTCACACACTGAGAGGTAAACTCTTTGCTGAGGCTTAATTACGCACAGATGTTGTGATGGGGTGCCAGTGTGCAAAAGCAATCTATCTCCTGTTTTAAGAGCTGAGTGGGGTTCGCAACGCAAAATTTGCTTCCCACTTGTTATGTGTTCAGAGAAAATTAATTACTCAGGAGCCTTAATTCTACCATTGTCTTAGGAATGGTGTGCGGGTTTTAGAAGCAGCAGGTCAAATCATTACACTAATTATTTACCCATTTGGCATCCTCGTTTCAAAAATTTGTGTTATTATTATTATTATTACATGTCTTGGTCTGACAGATGCTAGTTGGCCCCAGCCAGGGGATGATTTTGCTGTTTCCATGGGAACAGTGGAGGAGACGGTTCTGTTTGACGCGGAGGACCACCCCTGCCGGCTAAGAGGCAACAGAATGTCCTTAGACGAGCCTCAGAGTTGAAGTCAGAAAATCCCGTTTGTACCCTAACTCCTCTCCTCTAAGACTACCATCTGTAAAATGGGATGATGGCTGTTGGAAGGATTCAGTGTCCTAGTATCGGCATAGTGTTCAGTGCCGCAGAAGAAACATGCAGTAAACATTGCCTATCCCTTTGTATAATCAACAGGTCTTGGAAGCCCCCTCTGAGCTCCTTACCTGGGTGGAGTTAAGTACTCCCTCTTGGGCATCCACAGAAACATAGATCAGTCTCTGGCATAGTGCTAACCAACCTGTACTATAACAACATGCTGTGTGTTTGTCCCCCACTAGATGGGAAGTCTTCCCAGGCAGGAGCCAACCATCTCTTACTCATCTAGGTACCCTCCAGATCCTAGCACAGCAACAGGCTCAGGAAATGCTCAATAAATGTGGAATAATGGACTGAAAGAAAAGGAATATGTAAGTGGAAGCATAATTCAGACCCCACAGCATTATTCTAATTAGTTAATATTATTACTTGCATTAGAAAGCCAAGTTTTCATTGAATTGGTGGTGTGAAGCTCAAGGCTGGGGCAATGTTACCAGATCATCTGGATTTGCCCAAGCAAGAGGGTCTGTACGAACAATGGCATTTGCCTCGTAGGGCTGTTTAAGGAAAAGCCAGTCAAGCACACTGGGGGCATCTTGACAGACCTGACCCCCAACTCACTCAAAAAGCTGAACTTTGCCAGTGGCTACACCTTCCACCAAATCAGCGTTATCAAGACGCCACACTGCTCATCACAGTTGTAGGTCTTCCTCCCGTGAACCAAGCTCTAGGACTCTCAGGCAGCTAGGGTAGATGCACCCTCAGTCTCCCCATCTCTATTAATAAATCCAGAGAGCAGAAGTACAGTATAAACACAGTCTCTGTTTCTCAGGATGTCTTCAGGAGCCATGTGGATACTTTAGTCCAGAGCAAGAGACCTTCCAGTCCATATGCTGAGACACCCTCCCCAGGAAGAGCCCCACTTGACTGTTTGCTCCAGAACTAGTACCTGGAGCCCTGTGCCTCCCCCTCCCACATTCTCCAGGCCTCCCCAGTTAAGAGCAAAGGGTTGATCTCTTCCAAGAGTTGAAAGTCAATCTCTCCATGTAGACTGCCAGAGGGACCCAACCCCTGCACTGCTGTGATGAAGCGGTACGCCCGGAAAATGAACCCAAGCCCCACCACGGACAAAATGTGCTGGAAGAGCAGTGGTGTGGGCATGCATCTCTCTCACTCTGACCTCCACGGGCCCTGTGGGGAACATCAGGACAGTCCTCAAAGACCAGCTCCAAGGCCAACTCCTCACTGGAGCCTTCCCTGCCCTGCTCCCCACAGGAGCCCCTTCTTCTGAATCCTTAGAGCAGGACCTCTCACTGAGCTGGGACTTTGTGTTATTTGACGTTGTTTCCCACAGTAAGTGTCTCCTATCACACCAGCAGTTCTAGTAAATACTTGAAAACACAAATCTGTTCCAATGTGACTGATAAATTAGGGGACAATTTAATCACAACACCAATTTTACATTCACTTATGTGCAGTATCATCTGCGAGAAATACTCGGAAACACAGAAAACTGTATCCAGCTGATCCACACAGGAATACACAAAGCAGACACACCTCAAACGTCACCACATGTGTTATGGGTTACACTCACCCATAACTGGCGTCACAACAGCTGTCCAATTTCAGATGACTCTCCTTCCACCTCTTCACAGTAACTCCTAAGCAGCCACTCTTCTGATGCCCACTTCCACAAGCCCGTGTCAAGTAAAGTGGCATGTGTACTGTGGTCTTAATGTATTTCTTAGCCACTTACCACGTGTAAAACTATGGTACCATTTCATTAGGTTCCTATCCGCTTTTATTTTCTGGGTCACTGGTGACATTTTTCAATGTGGTAAGCCTAACCCTATTTTGCCCATAAACCTTGTGGTTTCTGTTGTGCGATTCTGCATACTGTGGAGATTTCTAGGACACATGTGTTGTGTGATACAGACCTGCATACTCAATGAGCTGATGTAATACAGGTAGTTTTAGGAACAGTGCCAGAGTATACTAGCATTAGCTATCACCATCACCGTCATCAATGTCATTACCTTTAGGAAGTCAAAGTGCTTGAGCATTTGGGCCACTTTCTCGGCGTTCCTCCCCTCGTTGAGGAAATCCAGCTCCAAAGGCAGGTTCTTCTTGGCTTCATCCACCAACCACATGAACTCAAACTCTGGAAATAGCTGCTTCACGGCCAGGACGAGCACCTAAAACCCATCAAGCACCCCATCAGTCTGTCCATGGCCCCCACCAAGGGAGGTACATTCTCTGTCCTCCTGCCTCGGTCTGGGCGTTGACAAGTCCCCAGGCCGCCCCTGGAGTAAGGGTGGGTGGGCAAACGGCTCCCCTGGGGCCCATCTCTGTAGTCCAAATCCAAGATTATGAAAGCCCAACAGCCGCGAGCAGAAACCGCCACCACCATTTACTGAGCGTTCCCCACTTGCCCAGCACTGGGTAAGCACTATTACCTGCCTTATTCCTCCATTTATTCTTCACAGTGTCTCTGGGAGGTACACACCCTTATCATCTGCATTTTACAGATTAAGAAAGTTGAGCCTCTGAGAGGTTATGTGATTTTCCTGAATTCGCCCAGCAAGGAAGCAGAGCCAGAATTCCCCTTGGGTCTACCCGGTCCCAAAACCCTTGTTCTTAAGCACGTTGCTGAATTGCTGCCTTTGCTTCTCCCAGATTTGTGCTCCGTGGTCCTGTTTATAAAGGGCTGGGAGGGGACAGCAGCTACATTTTGTTTATTTCTTAGGCTGAGTGGTTGGTACCTGAGCATTTATATTATTTTCTATGCTTTTTGTATTGAATACATCTAAAATATTTCATGATAAAAAATCAAATTGGAATAAGAAACCAAGGTTGGCTAAGACAAGAGGAGTAAGAGATAAGGGATTTGACCACTTGGGTGAAAAGCTTGGATTTTTGGAGATCTCGGCCCACGGTGGACCCTTGAGTCAGGACATGATGAAAGAGTGAGTTTCAGAAGACTTATGTGGCATTTCAGTTGTCAGTTTAATTATGTGAAACAAACACCACTGGCCGAGAACAAGAGCCCAAGGACATCTGCAGAGCACAGCACGGCCCCTCCGTGGGCAGGGACTCAGTTCTGAGGCTACCCCACCACTGGAGCTCTGGATTTGAGATGGTCTCACAAGTTCACAGACTATAGCACTGTAGTGGGTAAGCAAGGGTGATGCCAGGGACATGGGGGATGTTCCAGCATTGGGCGGGGGGGGAGGGACACAGAAGGCACCTCTCCTGTTCTATAAGCCCTCCTGTTGGTGTTCAAAGTCAGGCCTGGGGAGAACCACTGATAGATCCTCCCAGTAATTCTTGGTATAGTTCCCTGAGAATCCCCATCTCTAGCCCTGGCTAGAGGAAAAGGACAAGGAGCGAGAACTAAAGAACCATATGGGCCTATTGGTACCAAGAGACCCTCCCCATCTGTTATGGACTTAATGCTTATGTAGCTCCCAAATTCATATGTTAAGCCCTAACCTCAGGGTGATGGTGTTTGGAGGTGGGGCCTTTGGGAAGCAACTGGGTCTAGATGAGCTCATGAAAGTAGGGCCCCTGTGACAAGATTAGTGTCCTTATAAGAAGAGAAAGAGAGACCAGGGCTCTCCCCTTCCTCGCCAGGTGAGGACACAGGGAGACGGCAGCCATCTGTCTACAAGCCAGGAAGAGGCTCCTACCAGGAACCCAATCAGCTGGCACCTTGATCTTAGACTTCCCAGCCTCTAGAACTGTGAGAAATAAGTGTCTGTCATTTAAGCCTCCCAGTCTATGGTATTTTGTTATGGCAGAGCCTGAGCTGACCGAGACACCACCCAGTCTACCCAGAAGGCCTTACTGAGCCCCAGCTATGAGCCTTGTCTCATGCTTCTGTTTGCCCTGGTCTATGATATGATGTCCAACACTGCATTAGGCACATGCAGCACAAAGAAATAAATCTAAAGTAGGGCCATTAACTACAAGGCATTTTACAGCTTTGTTTTTAAATCCTATGTCTGAGGCAATGTACCAGACGCCATTCTAAAAGAATCATCACACAGGGTTATTATACTCAATTTCTCTCAAACCCATTTTAATTACATTCGGCTGCAGTCTAATTTCCTTTAAGTCTTGTCTAGTCTTTCAGGGGCAAGACCTGTGACCTTATGATAATCGATTTAGTTTATGTTTTGTTTCTGTTTCCGTCACACGAAACAAGAAGGAAGAGGTGGCAACAGTGAGGCCCAGGCCGCATGTGTCAGAGCCGGGCATCCTGTCTCATCATCACCGTGTCCCCAGATGGCCCTCAGCTGTCACCAAAGGGGAGGCAGAGCTGGTGCACAGGAAACAGAAGCACCTGCCCAGCCCAGGCTAAGGGCACACCTGTCATCCGAGGCACCTGAATTCCAATCTCTGGGCTCTGAGTTCAAGCAAGAACCCTCTTGGGTGTTTTGCTCCAGCCTAGATTCCACAGCTTCCCACCCAGGAGGGACAAGGAAGGAGCCACAATGAGTCTCACTCATTTGTTCAATCAAAATGTACTGATTACCTTCTTGGTAATGACTTTGGACCAGACGTAGGTATACACAGAGACCCACATGTAGCCCAGTGGAGTCTATACCAGGAGATGAGGCTTCTGGCCACACAATAACTCCTCATCATTTGTATGGTCACTGCTATTTGTGAAATTTTTAATTATCATTAATATCCAAACAGCACTGAAAGGCACTTTAAAGACTCTTCTGTTACTAATCAATTATGTGATTAGTCATTACTAGTACTACTGATTATTATTAATACTTAATGTCATGAATCATAAAAGCAGCCAAAGATTTTATTGATTGATATTAATTGCTAATAACTAATTAGTAAACTAATTCATAACCCAAAAAACTTTGCACTACTCATAAAACTGGTCTCAAAAGCATTCTGTGGTGGGTGGCATGTCACTTCCTTGGTTCCTTTAAAATGAGAGGGTCTGTTTGAATGGAAGTCAGGGGTTCTTAGCTTTATAGGACACCATCCCCTTTATAGGAAGTCACCAATTTGAAATTTTGATGCCAGCTATGAAGCCCAGAAAATGTAAATACTCCCATAATTTTGTACATAATTCAGGGGGGTTATCAATCCCTTGAACTTCACAGTGGGTGGGGAGAGGGGTCAGGTTAAAATTTGTCTGGTCCAAGTCTAAAATGGTTTGGGCTGCTGTCACTTTAGACTTTTCTTGGCTTGGGAAAATAAAATAAAACTCCTCAGTTTCATCTTCTGTTTTTATTCAATTCCATTCTTAACAGCCTGCCCTAAGTAGATTCAAGTTTTTCTTTTTTGACAACAGGTGCAATCAACGAAAATAAAACAGGTGTTGTTATCAATTTGACTTTTTGATTTTTCCCCCAAATTTATCTTCTCCATAAAATTCTTCCAGCAGCCAATTTTCCACCAGTGCCTAGCATGTACTCAATAACCAGCAGATGTTTACTGAATATTCACATGAATGAATGAGTGAATGAATAAATGAACATTCCAAAAGGTTTGCCCTCTCCCCAGAAATAATTATATGTTCACATGTGCATTACCCAAATGCATTAAGTTTTTATGCCTCTAAGATTCTGGTGGAGAAAGGACTACCTCTGAACTTTGGGGAACCACAGTTTTAAGATGCCTGAGAATATTCTACTTGATTTGGAGTCTTGTTAATCAATCAAGGTATATTCAACAATTAATACTTCCTTCAAGGTAGAATAATGAAGTCATTCTCCTATAGGGCTATTGGCTCACAGTAGGAAAAATAAATTATGAGCCACACAGAAATGTAATGGAAAAATTGAGAGTCACATAAAAGTTGAAAACTAGTGACTGCTATTTATAATAGCAAAAAAAAAAAAAAAGGGGGGGGAATTATCATTATCCAGGCATAGGCACTGCGCTATGAGGCACTTTATATACATGCTCTCATTTCTTCCTCTTCTTGTCCATTTCACAGAGAAGGGAGTCAGATCCAAGAGGTTAAAGCACTTCTCAAGGTCACATAGCTTTTAATTTCAAATGCGGGACTTGGACCCACGTGTTGGTTTGGTTTTTTTTTTTCACTTCTTTCTTTATGCAGCCCTGTCTCAGGCAATACAGTACAGGACAATACAATAGGAAGCTTGAGATAAGGCATAAAAAGAGCTTTGTAAACTGTAAAATGCAACTGAAATTCGAGTTACTGCTATCAAGTTATTACATATTATAAAAGAAATAATGTTCTATGGAAAAACAGGACACTAAATAGAACGCCTACACGGATCTGAACTGGTAAAAATGGATGTTCGACAAGGATCGAAAATCAGTTCAGAGTGATGCAAATAGCTTACCATTCATGGGGTTTATCTTTGCTCTGATAAGTTATTAAAGTGCATACTTTTTAGAAAGCAGAATTACAGGGTGAAGAGAAGTTTCCATGGGATGGTCTACATCTCTGGGGCTTTTAAAAATGTATTTAAAAAAAATAAAATCAGCTGTTGGATTCTGTGCCAACACAAACATTACCTAGCCACCCACTGTTCAATCAACACATTCAGAAAAGAAACAAGATGACAGACAGCATGCACTGAAAATGTTGTTCAAAAAAAAATCAAAAACATAACTGTCACAGGTCTTTACTTTTAGAGACCCTTGGTATGGGCTGGATGACATCAAATGGTGGGTGGATGGGATTCTGGTGCTCAGATCAGAGAGTTCTACCCTAATGCTGCAGAGCACCTTGGGGACAGGTGGTACATGAAGGGCGGGGAGCCTGGCCATGAGTTAGATTCTTTAGGGGGTGATAGAGCATGGGGGTGTTCATCATCAATTTCAGAAGCTTAAGGGATAACAGGCAGTGATACAGGATAGTGCTATTGGGACCTGGGAATGATGGTCTTACTACTGCCTCATGGGTCAACTGAGTCCTACCCTGTTCTCAAATGGTGAGCGTGGCAGTGAGACCCGGCCTGCTAAGCTCCCTGCTATCGTGGGCAGGCAAGAACTGTTGCAAAGCCAGCCCGCCAGCAGACAGACTCTGCCTTGTCAGTTCTCCCCTTGCTGCTGAATCACTGTTCCAATCTCTGGGCCCAATTAGTCTGGCTCTGGACAGCCACTCAAATCAATAAGAGTCACTGGCCGTGCATCTAGAAGTAGAGTTGCCCCAACTATTAAAGGGACAATATCAGGTGATAATGACAAA